TCTTTCATGATGAATAATGGTTTTTTCAAAACCACTTCGGACCATTGTGTGTTTGTGAAAAATTTCTCGGATGGTAAATTTATTATTCGTTTGCTTTATGTTGATGACATGTTAATTGTGGGTCAAGATTCTACCATGATTAACAGGTTGAAATTGGAGTTGAGCAAGTCTTTTGCTATCAAAGATTTGGGACCGGCAAAGCAAATACTTGTTGCATGAAAATTGTTCGTGATCGCAAAGAGGGGCTGATTTGGTTGTCTCAAGAAAGCTACATTGAGAAAGTTCTTGAGAGGTTCAACATGAATAAAGCAAAACCGGTTGGTTTGTCCATTTGCAAGGTCACTTCAAACTTAGTTCGAATCAAGTCCTACAAGTGAGAAAGACAAGGAAGAGATGTTTGAAAATTCCTTATGCTTCAGCAGTTGGTTCTTTGATGTACGCCATGGTTTGTACAAGGCCGGATATTGCTCATGCCGTTGGTGTGATGAGTCGGTTTCTCTTTAATCCGGGTAAAGAACATTGGGCAGCGGTAAAATGGATTCTAAGGTATCTTCGAGGGACTTCGAGGTGTCTTTGTGTTTTGGGGATGGTAAGCCGATGCTTGATGGGTTCACTGATTCTGACATGGCCGGTGATGTTGATTCCAGGAAAAATACTTCAGGGTATTTGATGACTTTTGCAGGGGAGGTTGTGGCATGGCAATCTAAATTACAAAAATGTGTTGCTCTCTCAACTACCGAAGCTGAAATTTATTGCCATTACGGAAGCTTGCAAAGAAGAGTTATGGTTTGAAATTTTTTTTGCAAGAGTTGGGTTTGAAGCAAGAAAAGTATGTGCTTTATTGTGATAGTCAAAGTGCTATTCACTTTGAGTAAAAATTCTGTTTTTCATTCGAGATCAAAACACATTGATGTAAGATACCATTGGATTCGTGATGTGTTTAGATTCAAAACTATTGCAAACTCGAAAAAGGTTCACACAGATGATAATATTTCGGATATATTGACTAAGACTTTGTCGAGGGACAAACATTTAAAGTGTCGAACTTTAGCGGGTATGGTTGATCTCTCCACCTAAGTCGGTAGGGGGAGAATTGTTGGGATATACCTCCTTATTAGAGTTTGAGACCCAATTGTTTTGGTTAAAGAATTTTAATTTGGTTTTGGTTGGGTATAATATATTTTATATATATTATATTTAATTTGTGGAGACCCAATCCAATTTGGATACAATTGGGTTTGATTACAAAACCCAAGATTCAATAATATATATATATATATATATCTAAATATATATTGTTTCGAAGAGCCGCGCTGATTATGTTTCAATGCATTCTCGGTGATGGTGCTGTGTGGTTTGCAAATTTGGTGTTTGGTCTCTGACAGCTCCGGGTGATTATTTTGGCAAGACGAATTCATTGGTCTTTGTGAGATTCGGTAATTTGGGTTAATTATTTTGGATCTTCTACATTCTGGTTCTGAAGATTTTGGTTCATCTATTTGGTGAGGTCTTTCCTCTTATTTATTTGTGATTATTTAGAATTCACCTAAGGGTGATTTGTGAGACCATTCGTGTCTCGTTTGTAATCGTTTGAAAACTCTTTTGGTTGATAGTGGAATCGAATTTCGATATCGTAGACGTACCTTACATTGAGGGAACCACGTAAAAATTATTGTGTTGCTTTTGATTTAATTTTTCCACATTAGTTTTTATTTCCCATTAATTATTTACTTGTGGGAAATCACATATTTTTCCTAACATTTATCCCACAAATAGTACCGCAATAAAACCGGCTTTACGGTATAAATGTTTGATTTCTAATCACCCTTCATTATGCAATATTATTAACTTTTCAGATTTAGTGCTACTCTCTCTGTCTTAAGGTGCATTTTGTTAGTTTCAGCACTTTCTCATCATAAATTTTCTTGATGAAAAGATACCCATCTATGATTTATTCATATGTCAAGTCATTTTAAGGAAGAAAATATGTTTATGATAACTGATCAATGTTGCTTTAAATTCTTCATGGTAAGAGATGTAGTCACTGTAAGTTGGGGGGACTAAAGCAGGAAAAGTTCACGGTACATTGTGATAGCTAGAGTGCCATAGACCTGAGCAAGAATTCTATGTACCATTCTCGCACGAAGCACATTGATGTTCGGAATCATTGGATACGCGAAGTGATGGAAAAGCTGTTATTGGAATTGGTCAAGATCTTCACAGATAAGAATCCAGCCGACATGCTTACAAAGGTGGTCTTGAGAGACAAACTCGAAGAATGCAGGGACATTGCTGGAATGGACTTCCAGTAAGAATCCTACTCCTCATAAGTGTGGAAGGGGAGAATTGTTGAGTATCCACACCAAGCGTCAAAAATAGGGGCTACAGACTTGTTGAAGTTTTTCCAACCTAGGGTGATTGTGTTATTAAGTTTGGTAGTTGGTTGTTGGCAAGTAGAGGTTGGTAAGCAGATATTAATTTTTTTGGATCTCCCGTTTGTGTATAAATTGGGAAGAGCTGTGAGCTGAGAGATAGTAGAGTGTGAAGAAAAAAGAGAGTTGTGAAGAGTGTATCTGTGAGTTGAGTTGAGAGAGTGAACTCCTCCTCCTCTGTTTTGTATTTTACACAGTTTATAGTGCATTCTCATTTCTCTTCCTGTGGATGTGGGCATTGGGCTAAACCACGTAAAGATTTGTATCTCATTTGTGTGTGTGATTGTTTGTGAGTCATTTTCTCGGTGTTCTTAATCCTAACACAATGCAAGATCCTATAAAGAATAAATTTTAGTAATTCTATTCTTGTTTGCCATGTATTTGATCCGGATACTAAGGATGGACATGATTTGATTATCGGGTTGAATTCCATAGATGGTAATTCTTTTTTCTTGTACCTGAAAATTCAAAATTCTGATGAGTAGTTTTCTACTTTTGTGAATTATAAACTGGTTTGTGTTTTTTTGTAGTCAATTCCATTAATCCATTAAGACAAGCTTGTTGGTGCCAAACATTATAACAAAGATTGTTGGGTTAATAATAGGCAAGACCTTAACTCAAATATCCTCTACCTTTGATTGCCGGATTATTTTTGATAGGATTAGATATGATAAGATTATTGATAGAATTGTGCGGGATAAGTTATACCTTGGGATTAGATTAGATGGGATGAAGGATTACGCTAAACTTTTGGAGGATAAGTTATACTATGGGATAAAGGATTGGTAAGTGAAAAGTATTATATTTGGTTATGATAGAATAAAAAAATATAATTATTTTTTACGGTTAGAAAAAAGAGAAAAATAATCCAGAGTGGCCTATGATATTATTTAGTCTTCAAATTTTTTCCTTTTTTTTTTTTTTCCCCTCTATTTAATTCCCATACCGTATTAAGGTTATCCAGAGTTTAATACCTTGTAAAACAAACGTTAGACTAAAAACATGTAAGATCCAAATGTTCCCCACCGCTTATCCCTTCTGCTTATCCCACAAATAAACAATGGGCAAAATAATCCAGTGAGGCCCAATTATCCCCACTATTTATCCCACAAATAGTACCGCAATAAAACACGGCTTTACGGTATAAATGTATGATTTCTAATCACCCTTCATTATGCAATATTATTAACTTTTCAGATTTAGTGCTACTCTCTCTATCTAAGGTGCATTTTGTTAGTTTCAGCACTTTCTCATCATGAATTTTCTTGATGAAATAACACCCATCTATGATTTATTCATATGTCAAGTCATTTTAAGGAAGAAAATATGTTGATGATGACTGATCAATGTTGCCTTTAAAATTCTTCATGGTAAGAGATGCAGTCACTGTAAGTTGGGGGTGACACTGTAAGGAGTTGGTGGTTCAGGAGGAGCAGAGAATCAACCAGAAGTTGGGTAATTTTCAGGAAGGTGGTCTGTCTTGAGGTTTGGGCAACAGGTCTGAGGTATCAAATTATGCAGAGGGCTAAAAGTGAAAAGGATTTGAGATTGAGGCTATAAAGTTCATAGCTTCTATTGTGGGTGTTTGGGAAGTAGTTTTTTTTTAGGTTTTTTGGCTTTTTAGCTATTTTAGTAGGCTATTTTAGTTTTTGTGTTGGGGAAGTTTGGTTAAATTTTTGGATTAATTGTTGTATTAAAAAATGTGTTTGAAATAATGTTTAAGGTTAAAATGACAAATTTGCTCATAACCTTATTTTTTCCAAAATTGATCTATAGGAGTGAAATCGTCATTTAATTGTCTGAAGCTTACATTGTGTTGGTGACAATGTAGGTGTCTGTGCTGCTGGACAGCCGCTGCTTTTTCATTTTATTTTTTTTTTAAATCAATGGGTTAGGCGGGATCATTTGAGGCTAAAAGGCTTTTTTCCAATTTGATTCTAAAATAGCCTGCCAAAAAGGTTCCTTTGGCAACCTCTTAAAAGTCAGTTTATTGGTTAAGAAAACCTATTTTTTTATACTCATTTCCAATCAAAAATTTACGTTAGTCACTCCAGAAACTCATTAGAAAAGTCAAAACGATTGGAATAGGTTAAATTAACTAACTTTTCTTAGTATTAACTTTTTTGTTGGCTTATTTTTGGCTAATAAACTTAGCTTTTTAGCTAACTCTCAAAGGAAGCTGATGCTAATCTTGCTAGGAAGAGTGGGAGTAACTTCTTTTTTTTCTGTTGCTCTTTTATCCCCTGTGGTCACATTGGAGAGTTGAATTCATTTAATGCCAAAGGGGTGGGGATGAGGAGGAGACAAATTGGTGAAGTATCTTTGAAAACTTGCGAACATTTGTAAAATGATCTCATGGTTTTTTTATCCACAATTTTACCTAGTGTTTACAAAATTCATTTTAGTTATGTCCCACAACACACTAACTTAAAATCTATACCCTACGTTCCAGTTTCTGAATAAAATTTTTGATTAAATTTTGTGAGTAGCTAGAATTATTGTTACTTGACAGAGACTTGCAGTGTTTTTATGCAACATGAAGAAAAGCATATGGTGTTGCAGGGAGAGTTTTTAGTCAAAAGAATTATTTAAGTAAAAATTGGTTACACAAATCAAACACAATCATCATCAACAATCTCTCAACTCAAAGACAAGCTCACAACTCAAAGACACAAACACAATGCTGCAATAAGAAAACCTGCAAAGCACACTGCAACATTGAGTGCACGGTGGTGAGTAGCCGGCATTGCACTGGAAGCCTGAACCGACGTATCAGTGCTAGTAGCGGACTGCTCTCCTGCCGGAGACGGAGCCTTCTTCTCAGGCTTTGATGGTGCCGGAGCTGGTGATATAGCGACAAAAAAGGACAATGGAAGTAGAACTCGGTCCACCTGATACACCGCCAGCTGGTTATCGGAATACACCGTGCCAGTCACTGTGGTGTTAACAATCCCGGTACTGATGTTCACCAGATTCCCGGCCGTGGTCACATTCATCGGGTACTGAACAGTACTTCCAGCCTGTGTGCTCAACGGATTGCTCACTGTTTGGAATGCAGGAACCGAAAGGAAAGATGGGATGACGTGGAATTTCACCAGCTGGACCTTCTGCTCGTCTGAGAAGGAGTTGAGAGTACCGGTAGTGAGGTTGCCGAAGGCATTGTCAGATGGGGCGAACACGGTTAGGCTCTGGCTGGAGTCATTGAGGAGTTTGTAGATTTGGTTGTCAATCTGGGTGGCCTTTAGTAGCCGAATGTATGTAGAGAAATGACCAGCCTTTTCGAGGATGGCGGTGATGTTGGGTGGTCCTGGTGGGGCTGGGCCTGGTGCGAGTTGTGCCGGTGGAGACTGGACAAGTGGGACTTGTGGAGCTAGTGCTGTTGGTGGTGGAGATTGAGTGGCTGGGACTTGGGGAGGCTGTGCAGGAGACTGAGTAGCTGGAGGTTGTGGAGGTAGTGCTGGAGACTGAGCAAAAGCTGTGGGGAAGCAGAGGAAGGTGATAATGATCAGTAGAAGTGGGAATGGTGAGAGAAGCTGGTTTGACATTTTTATGGAGTTTTTGTTGGTAATTACTACTTTGTACTAGTTTGAATTGGGAAAGTGAAGAAGAGAGTTGTGGAGGTTGTGGTGAAGGATGGAAGTGAATTGGGGGGTTTTTATGGAGTGTGGGTGGTGAGATGGGAAGTGAGTATGAAATTAGGTAAGAGGCTGCATTTTAAGGTGGCCAGAGAACATTCATATATCTTAGCTACCTTGTTTCAGGTAGAGAGAGTAGGAGAAATGAGGTGTTGATGGACATTCATATCCTAGCTATCTTGTTTTTGAGAGAGAGAGAGAGAGAGAAGTGTGGTGTGGTGTTGTGTTGATGGTGCTGAAGCAGATAGCTGTTGGCTTTGCTTAGCAATGGGGGAAAAACAGCAGAGTAGGCTGAGAATGATTGAAGTTTTTGTGGTTACCATTGAATGATCTTCAATTTGCTTGTTGCCTGGGACAGCCTTGTGAAGAAGAAACCTTCTTCTTCAAAATTTTTATACAAGTAGCAGATCAATTTAGTGATGAGCATGACATTTATGGAGTGCTAAAGTTTGCCTAATTATGGGTTCATCAAATCAGAAAGAGATGACAAGGTAGCAACTTTGGTTACACCTACATTGCATGGTTCAATAACTGAGAACCACATGACATCCCATGGAAATTTGTTTGGGATTTGCTTTTTTACGGCTATTTGACATCTTTAGGACCTAAAAAAAGGTTAATGTGATTGGAAAGTTATTAAAAAGTTATTTTTATTGTAAGCAAAAAAATTGATGTGACATTTAATTTTTTTAACTGATAACAAATAACTTAGTAGTTTTTTAAATTTTTTTTGACTTTTTAAACTAAAATTTGGCTTTTTTAAGTTGTCCCCAAACACCTCAATTCCTTTCACATATAATCTCTTCTAGATTTTTGAGGGTTTTTTGTACGGAAATACATTTGTGCATATGAAGTGGATGGAATAGCTTGAATTGCTTCATCGAAAATTATATATAACAAATTTTTTACAGAGAAATATTATTCAAAATGACTTCTGTAAAGTTTCTGAAATTATAAGTGATCTTGGTCTTTTGTTTTCATTTACAATCTCATAGATTCATGAGATTTTCATAGAGAAATTTCATATGATGTAATTTTTTGTGATCATTTCATTTCAGTACGAAACTCGTATCATTGTGATTTATAATTACAGAAATATCACTAATATATCATTTTGGTTAAATTTTAGAAAATTTGGTAGAGGTCCAATTTTTAAATTTCTAGACCAGTAAGTCTTACAAAAGATTTTTTAAACTGACCAATCCCAAGCACCACCTAATTATAAAACAAAAAAAAAAAAAAAAAAAAAAAAAAATTAAAAATTAAAATCTCCATAAAACTTTTTCACAATTGAACTAATTTTTACATTATATATATATATATATATATATTATTTTGATAAAATTTATATTTTAGAAACCAATTCGAGGAGATCTATCTAAAAATTAAAATTAACTAATTTTTACATTATATATATATATATATATTCTTTTGATAAAATTTATATTTTAGAAATCAATTCGAGGAGATCTATCTAAAAAGATCTATACTGAATGTTAAATTCTGTAAAATTATTGTGAAATTTCAAAATAGAAATTTACTTAGTTTTCGGAAATTTTTTAACAAATTGAGAAATTTCTTAGTACAAAATTTGATAAATTGGAAAACACTCCGTTTCTATGTTCTAAAACTGTTAAATGTTAATTTTTTTAAAACTTTCATATTCAGTTGATAGATATTGATAGAGGGCGTCAAATATAATAAAATTAGCTATAATAATCAATAACCCTCTTTTAAAAAATCTGTTAGAGATGTCCTAAAATATTTTTGGTGTACCTTATTGAAACCGATTATAATTTTAGAAAAATGATATATAAATTCACTTTCTAAATCCAATGATGTATGAGAGAAATAATTGACTAATTATTAGAAAGATATGAAAGAGAGAGAGAGAGAGAGAGAGAGAGAGAGAGAGAGTGAGTTGTCTTAAATATTCTGATTGATTGTCACACTATTAAATTTGAAAAGTGAATTTAATTTTTGGATTAAAATAACAATGCCCATAATTTTATAACACAAAAATAACTTTTATAAGAGTTTATATATTGGTTAGTTAAGATCTTTATTGTTGTTAAAATTTAGAATGAAACTCATCTCTCATTTTATTTTTTTTTGGTGCCATATAATTAGATATTAGGAGATTAGTATGTTAAATTACAATGAAAGGATCACAATTGTTCCATTGACTTGAATCCTGAACCTCTAACCTCCTCACTGTTCCAGGATCACTAAATGAAACCCATCATTGAGCTCTCTAATAGTGGGGGAGGGGTCTTGCTGTACGATGTGATGCTTGGGTGGGCTTATAAATTTGAAAACGCCACCTTATTTTCTGACTTAAAATTGCCATCATTCAATCAGAACAGCAATGTTTCTTAATTGTAATTTCCACAAATTAATGGTGAACATTGAAAGCAAATGGTACTTTCTGTGCTCCAAATGTAAGCTTATATTAACAAGGCTGCATAAAACATTTTGAACATTGGTATGCCAGTACTTATATTTAATATCTGTGTTTCTACATCAGGATTTGTCCAATCGAACTACATACTCAGAAGTGTTAGAGACTAGTCTCATTCTCATATCATCTCTCCACGCTCAATCTTGATTATACATTACACTAGAGGCCCATTTATCCAATCCAATGCCAATTGGTTTTAGATTACATACTCTCAATAATTCTAACAGAAGATTCATTGGATAATCGAGATACAAGAATATCAAACTATAATTCAACTACTGTGACTGTTCTGAGACAAGTGAAAACTGACAAGTAAGAAATTTGGGACAAAGATCCCGTGGCAGGAGATGGGTACCAAAGATTTCATCATCGAAAGATCTGAAGACACATTGGGTTCAAAGAAAGTAAAATATCAAGCTCTTGTGATGGATCAAATACCAGAAAAACTGCCAAAACTCTTTCCTATATATGCCTACTGATGTTTATTTGCTTCATAGTGTGATATAAAAATAAATTCAATTATCTCTCAACCACATTTTTAAGCCTGTTGGAGTCCAGAATAACCGAAAATTACACGGAAATGAGGGCTTATCTACTTTTAATCAACTCATACAAAAAAAATATGATGATCCACAGTGAAACCTTCTTCAGGAGAATACGACTTGTTTCTTCTATCAAACATTTGAAAAATGACCTAGGATGTTTCACCACCAATAAACCTGTTGTTAGCCAGTCAAATAGGCATCCTGCTACTACAGAAAAAAGCAGAGACCGCTCCATAACCTTCTTTGTGAAACCAACAGTAGAATAATAATCCACATGCTTGACTAGGTGGTCAAAATTGGAATCCGCCAAATCCACCACCGGGAAAGCCACCTTCAAAGTGAAATGTGTATTGATGTCCCCCACCACCAAAAGGGTTAAATCCACCACCCCCCGGCCCCATACCCATGTCTTCAATGTCTTCCCCTCTATCAAATCTTGTACGTTTTTCTTCATCTCCAAGAACCTATAAAGAACACCAAGGGATGAGATTTGGCAATCAACGAGATTGTATACGGAGGATGCAACAATTTTAGAAAGTGTGGAAAAGTTGAAGATATTAGGTACACGCTCAAGTTGCATAATTTAACACAAGATTAAATTTTATTATAAAAAATGGTAGAAAAGAATAATAGCCACAGTAGAGCAGATCAGCTGATCATAAATCATGTGGCTGAACTCAAATAACTAGTAAAGCTTAGTTCAGTGGAAGTTAGATTCTACATATGATGGAATCATAGAGCACAACCTTTTTTTTTTTTTTGCTCACTAGTACTTTGATTCAAAATACAAGCAATTATATTGGTAGGTTGATACGTCGAATTACCAAGAAACTTTTGTTAACTAAAAGAAAACACATATACAGCATGGTGGCCAAAAAGCATGTGAGAGAGCAACGACAAAAACATATTTTAACCAAACCTCATATGCAGCGGCTACTTCTCGGAATTTGGCCTCTGCTTCTTCTCTATTGTCAACATTCTTATCTGGGTGCCACTGCAAAGCCAGCTTCTTATATGCCCGTTTAATCTCTGATATGGATGCAGTCTTTGAAACTCCCAAGATCTTGTACCAGTCCTTTCGTTGGCTCAACTTCAACGATCTCTCAGCCTTCATCAGTGTTTCACGAATATTCGTATCCTGTACAATTAGCGAATTAAATATTACCTCTCAAACTTTATGGATATCTGGATTTAGAAGAAAATACATTCAATCAACTAAAACTTCTGGAGTCTAAAAGAAGAAGAAAAAAAAAAAATCCAAACCAGGCTCAAAGAACTATGAACAAATACTAACTTAAAATTGAGCAATACTAACAACTGAATGATTAAAAGTAAAAAACAAAAAAAACAAAAACAAAAACAAAAACAAAACAAAACGACGTCCAATTAGTACACATTAATGTGTGTTTGGGGAGGGAAAGATTGAGTACACACCTAACCTTGGCATAATGCACAAAGTGGTGGTCCTAAGACTTGAACCCATAACCTCAAGGTTATTAGGCTAAATCTTAACCATTGAATCAATGGTCACCCCTCCCAAAAACACATTAATGTGTACTGGTCAAATTAAATATCTACTAGTCAATTAAAAGTAAAATTAAATAAAATATCTACTGGTCAATTATTGACCAATATGAGCTAAGACGAACTGAGTATTCACTATTTGGGCTCAGCACTTACAACTTTTGGTTTCTCAAGGCTCTACCCCAGCTTGGTTAAAAAATACTTAGGTTAGTTCCTTTTATTTGGGTAACTTAATTAAGTTGAGTTAGTTCCACCATCTACCAAGCAAAGAAAAATGAAAGAAACACTTATTACAGTGAAGCTCAGGTCCAGATATATACAATCAAGACCATCATAAATGCAGAATATTCACTTTACACTAGTTTGATATCAGTAACAGCTCCCTCCATGCTCTACCTCTTCAGATCCACAAAACCAGAGAGAACAAAATCCTAATATGTTAACATCAATAACTAATTTACTTCTGATATATTCTACATAAAATAAGATAACCGTCAAAATGCCTTAGAAGTAGGGATGGCAATATGAAACCGACCCGACGGTGACCCGACCCCCCGACCCCGAATTAAGTGGTTATTCACCGAAAAATACCCCCGTGGGGACGGGGATGGTATTCAAAAGTTCATCCCCGATGATATCCGGGCCGGGGACGGGGATAGGTGTTTCAGACCCGGCCCCGCCCCCGCCCCGCTTAATCCCCGAGGTGAAATTACAATTTTGTCCCTGCATATATATATATGCTTGTGTTTGTCTAGGGTTTCAAACACACACTCAGCCTCTCCTCTCACTCACACGGCGCGACTCCTCTCTCTCTCTCGCTCTCGCTCGCCACCACTGGTTTGGTCTCCCCCTCTCCCTTTCTCTCACCGCCGCGCCTCTCTCCTCACCGGCGATCCCCCGTCGCCACCGATCCTCCCTTACCGCCTCACCTCTGCCGTTCCTCTGTCGCTCCCTCACCGCTGCTGCTTTCTCTCCTTCACCGTCGCTGCTTTCTCTCCCTTAGGTATCTCTCTTTCTCTCTCTCTCTCTCTCTCTAGGGATTTCGTTCTAGGGTTCACATATATGTATATTATATATATATATATGAGTGTATATTATATATAGATTCAACCTTTGTTTGTTTTTTTTTTTTTTTCCTTCTAAATTTGTAGATCTATCTATTTTATCTATAGATCTGTTTATTGATCTGTTTATAGATCTATCTATTTTATATATAGATATGTTTATAGATCTGTTTATTGATCTGTTTATAATACAGCAAATATTAACAAAAAAATATAGATCTGTTAACCTGGATTCTGATCTGTGTAACAGATCTATGTAACCTTCAAATCTATGTAACCTTCAATCTGATTGTTTTGTTTCTACCAGGAATATGTATTTCAGTTAATTGGTGTTCCTTTAGTTAAAAATGCATTAGCTGGTTACAAAACAACAATCTTGGCATATGGACAGGTATTTCTAAATTCTAGTCAATGTAGTAGCCATTGATTCAATTGATTGTATGTTTGTGGTGTAATAACTTTTCGATGAGTTGTGTGTAGACTGGATTCTGTGTGTGTTTATTTATTTATTTAAATATTTGGGCCTTTTGCTTTATATAAGGTGTATTACTTCTTTATGTCTGTGACATGAATCGAACAGATTGAGAATTTATGTTGATTTTATTTATCTTTTGCTGTCTCAGATATACAATGAACAAATAGGAGATTTACTTGATCCAACCCAACGAAACCTAGAGGTGGGTATTACTCTCTCTCTCTCTTCAATACCTTTTTGGATTACTTTTATGTGTGCTTAATGGTGGTTAAACTGCTGCAGATAAGGGATGATACCAAACATGGATTTTCTTTTATGCTTGTTAACTGCTAGGATATGTAACCTGTGTATAATAATATATGTTGATTGGGCATTCCATTCTATAAATTGGGTTAAAAAACTGGATATGAAAGGGGATTAGGTAGATTACTTTGAAGAATATCATAAACTGGATGTGAAAGGGGATTAGATACATATGTTGCCAGAGAAAAAGAAAATATTAGAGAAGAATAATTGTTTTATTTTTATTTTTTTCTTGAAAGGGGATTAGATGCATATGTTGCAAGATGATTCATCAAACTAACCTGTCAAATTGTTTGGATAAGGTATTGTTGACTTTAGTTAAATCATGTGATGATAGTAAGGCTATGTCCTGCTACCTTTCTCTATGCTTTCTTGTTGGATGTATAAAATTCACCATCTATTTGTTGCTATGAACCACGTAGAAAGCTGTTTAATATTATACGACATTGATTCAGCTGTGTGTGGATGTATTGGGTTTATCATTTTGTGATCATTGCTGTCACTGTCAGTATATTCTATCCTGTATAGAATGAGTTTTTTTTTTTCTTTACGTGCATTTTAAACCCTTTGCTTATTTCCTTTGCATTTTAAACCCTTTTCTTATTGGTACATGTCCCAATTCAATTCAATTCCATTCATCTAAAAGAAAAAAAAAAGAGAAAGAAATGTCCCAATTCAATTCAAACAGAGAAAGAAATCTTATTAATATTAATTATTTGTTTTTTTCCTTTTGTTATTTAATAGGAATTCAAGTTGAAGGAGATGATGGAAGTTGTTGTGTGGTTTGTATGGATATTGGAGAAACAATGGATTTAATTTTTATGTTGTAATGGATATATATATATATATTTTTTTTAATTTCAATTTTTGGGTAACCTATCCCTTGCGGGTTGTGCTTGGGATTAATTATTCTCTTTGCTACTTGTTGAATTTTCTTGTGTGTGGGCTGCTGAATTTTCTTGGAGAAACAGGATGCTATTTTATGAGTTTTGTATGGCATTGAGACACTGTCTTAATGTTGACACTGTCTCAATGTTTTGTATGCTACAGGATGTTGTGTGTGGGTTGTGTATGACATTGTTTACAGATTTTAATCCATGTTTACAGGATGTATTTTAATCCATGTTTATTGATTTTGTATGGCATGCTACAGGTTAATTGGCATGCTACAAGTTATTTTAATCCATGTTAATTGGCAATGCTACAAGTTTACAGATTTGTATGGCATTGTGTCAAATATATTTTAAATATATTTTAAAATTGCTACAGGTTATTTTGTATGGCAATGCTACAGGTTTACAAATATATTTTAATCCATATTAATTGTCTTCATTGTCTCAAGTATATTTTAATCCATGTTTATAGATTTTTATGGAAAAAAAAAAAAAAATCGGGGATTTTTCGGGGTCGGGGATCCCCGATCCCCGATCGGGGGCAGGGATGGGACCGGGCTATGAGTCCCCGTCGGGGATCGGGGCCGGGGCCGGGGCCGGGGCCGGGGCCGGGGCCGGGGAAAATTCGAGCATTGGGGATCGGGGACAGGGAGTGTGATCCCCGGCCCCGCCCCGCCCCGTTGCCATTCCTACTTAGAAGGAATGCAAAGGAAAAGGAGATAAGAAAGGGAACAACCACGCATGATAGCTCTTACCATGGTCCACAATGACAATGATAAAATGAGCAGTGAGGCATTCCATTGTATGTCTTCTAATAGATTCCTAGCCCATTCTATTATGCCCGCCGGTGTTAGCTTTTCGGGTACATCCTACCCTCATCTTGAGTGTTGAACCACAAGTTCGGCACAAGAGGAATCCTTCTTAGACTCAATTTGCTAGGGGTCTAATGTAATTTAAAAAGATAGGGGCGGGTCAAAAAGAAATATTAGAAACTTGCAAATAAATAAATAAATAAATAAAACCCAAATCGCTTAGTCTCAGTCAATACCCACCCAGACGACCACAATGATACAGAGTAGAGAAGAGAAGAAAAGAAAAAGAAAATAAGGGTTGTCAATCAATAACCACCCGGGTCTTTCAAATATTTCATTTCCATATCAAATCTAAAATGTTTATAATTCCCTTGTACATTTCCCTTCCACACTAAAATGATAAATGCAGAAGTGTTGTATGCAAGTTTTTATTTTTTATTTTTATATTTATCCTTTCTAAAAAAGTATGTATGACACATTAAAGATACTTCAGTTCAATAAATTCTGATAAAAGTAGGGTACTACTACTACTTTGATCTCACTCTTTTCTTCTTTCTAAGAAGTAAGCGAAGTATTAAAAAACTATTATTATATTTATCCTAACAATTATACTTTAATGCTATGCAAGAATTATTATAATTTCAATTTTATAATAGTTTGGATAAGTGTCCTAGAATATTCAAAAGATATTGATACTTCTCACAATTAAAGAAAACTCATTTCAAGTATTAGAAACATTTAGAAAAGTATGATACATATCCATAGTATCCGAAGAGTAGGTATCCAATACGAATACACCACGGATCTGACTCCCTTCTAGCAGTATCCATGCTTCATAATAAGTAAAAACCTTGCTGCTTCTTTTTCCTTTTATTTTAACTTCTTTTATCTTTTACACTACATATCTTTTTTTTTATTTATAAATGCACTACATATCTTTTTATCTTACACTTCACACACGAGAAGATTCCCACAATAAATAACAAACCAAAAAAATGTGAAAGTGAATATCCTTAGACCCTTCAACCACTTTGAGAAAGTAGAATCTGTCCTAAACGAAACACCAACATTTCCTAAAGAATATGCATTCCTTTTATATTAATTAGTAAGATCACCATGACAATAAGACTAGTAGAAACATCTGATGCAACAATTTACATATTAAAGCACTACATAACATGGTTGTGAAGTTGCAAGTGTGAAGAGAACTTATGATATAATTGGGAAAATTTTAAGACAAACCTGAGGTGATTTTTCAGCTGCAGATTTTAGATCCGCAACAGCTCCCTCCCAATCTTCTATCAGAAGTTTCGCTTCACCCCTCTGAAAAACATAGTCATTAGTTAAATACATTCTAATGTTAACTAAACAACTCAGGCTTATCCCTGTTAGAGAACATAGTTATCAACTGCATCCATATTCAGATATTTCTATGCACTTTTACAATATTTTAAAAAACCATTAGGCAAAAGGAAACAAAAGAAAACCTGAACTAAAGCTTCTATAATCTCCTCGTCAATGTTAAGTGCTTCTGTGCAACTACTCACAGCATCCTTTCCCCTACCAAGCTTAACCAAGACATTACACAAACCAACATGAAGGTGTACATTGTGTGCAAGATGATTTGGGTCCAGTGCAAGGGCTGCTTTATAGTCCTCCACTGCCAGACGCAGCTTACCCTTATTTATGTTATCTTCTGCCTGCATTAAATAAAATAACAATTGAGGTTTGAGGATAATAAAGAGGTTACAAAACATCATAACATAACATGGCAATGACCTTATTAAGCTCCAGAAAAGCTTATTGAACTTACACTTTTAGTCTTCTTGAGTAAATTTTTCAATCCAAAATATGCTTTCTTTAGTTCACTATGTTCTGGGTCCAGACGAAGACCTTTCTGGAAATGCCTGAAGAAGACATTAAAAAATGTCCCCATGTGAACAAAAGGCTACTTTGGGAGAAAGTACAATGAGATACAATTCACAGAATTTCAAAGATCCATATTAATTTGTAGTGTCCAACCAACCTTGAAGCAACATCATGATCAGCTAAATAATAGTAGGCACGACCTCGTAGCAGTAATGCCTCTAGATTGTTCTCATCTTCTTTAAGAATATACCCTGTCTGAGAGATGGCACCTGAATAATCTTTAGCAGCTAACAATAACTTCACCTTAAGGAGTTTGGCCTGAAGCAGAAAAACAAACAAGTTGTCAAATTAATTCTACAGCTTGCATATTATTATAGCTAACTTAGAGAAATCTAAAGTTATAAATATTCATGAAAATGACGATGATCACAATGATAGAATCAATACCCTTGAACATGCAGGAGAAAATACAAGAACAACTTTATCGATATACTCCAATGACTTTGTAAAGTCGCCTGAATCAAAGAGAGTTGTAGCTGTCTCAAGGGCACTCTGAGCCTGTAACAATTGAGAAAGTTCCTTCTCTGCAGCTGAATTTCCAGGTTTCATCTCCAGAAACTTTTTGTAGTTCTTCTCTGAACCCTCGTATCTACATTAGCCAAAAATCGCCTGAATCATATAGTTTTCCAACCAGATATTAAAGGGAGGAGAGGGGGGGTGGAGAGAGAGAGAGAGAGAGAGAGGAATTCAATACGTTCAAATATTCAGTCAACTAGAAATTCTATGTGAAACAAGTAAACAACAAATGTTCCGTCCCAACACCCCATATGCTTCACCAACCTCACAAAATGGGATTTAGATAACAATTCTATTGAATGGACGAAAATAAACTGGGCATTAATGAGAGAGAAGAATCCGACACATTTCAAGATTTGTAAACTAGAGATTTGATGTGAAATGTACATATATTCCTCCCTTTAAATTCAATCAAGCTCAGAAGCATGGGAGATGGACAAGAGAAATCCTCCAAAGGAAGGAAGCACCACAATTGACAGTGTGGTCCAACCATTACCCTGAATTTTTCAGCAGAGATAAGCTACCTGAGTATCGCTTTTCTGTAACACATGGCTAATACCATGGTCTAATCAGTTTTGCAGCAATCTGACCATAATTACTAAAAGCACATTCAGGGAAGCAGATACTGTCTCACTTTAGGCACATTGAAGGAGTACACTTCAAAACTGCACTACTTAAGCTTCCTTATATTACTTTTCCTGATGGAATAATAAATTTACAATCTAACAACTGATGGATTCATAACGGGGGCCTCCCAGTTTAACAGGATCCAGCTGCTAAGTTTAATACAGTGTGTTGATGGATTTTAAAATAAAATATTTGCACCCTTAGCTTCTTATAGCAATCTAAAAGCAGCAGAAGCCCATATCTTCATGGATCATCCTACAATACTTCTAACAGTGACATATCAACCAACTGTCCCACATCTTATTTTAAAAATTAATGTCAAAATATACAACTGTTCATAAATGCCAGAAGAGTTGAACTTGTTTCTGAGAAACACCAAACTATTTTTTTTATTGCTTATCAGGGGTGCAGAAATTGACACTGTTGAAAAAAATACAAATGAAATTTCTAAATCAAAACCTGCACAACTGACGAAGAATAGATGCACGATGCCAATAAGCCTCTGAAAGTGTTGGATCTGCCTCTATAGCAGCATTTAGATCATCAAGTGCCTCACTATAATGTTTCACCTTTACACTTTGTGAAACTCTCTCAAACAACTCAGCAGCATTACCAGGTTTCCCATCTGCATATCCAAAATACAATAATACATTATTAAATTACAACGGAACTTTAAAAATATTTTCATCTCCATATTATGACTTATGTAATTTTAAGGCACTATATTTTAGTTTAAAATCTCAAGAAACTTATTCAATATGAAGAATAAGTTTAAATATTTCTTCATGGTTCTATAACATGGCCCTAAGATAAAAATAAAAGATTGAATATATACTTAAAAAGCTACTAATCTTTTTATTTTATGTAATTGCAAGCTGAACATCACAAAGGAGGGTAATATCATCATGGGTAAATCAACAGTCTATATACCAAAATTTATTACATTCACCTAAGAAATTGCAACTTGAACTTTCAATTTTCTAGTTAAGAAAAAGCTACAAAAGGCTTACAAAGGACATACATACTGCACCACACAAATAAGCCGATGAATAAAAATAAACATCCAGGTGCATGTGCATGGTTGCCTCTGCAGAAAGGGTTGGAAATGGGGTTTGATTCAACTATCAAGAGAAGAACCATTCCCTTGTGTTTTCAGATTATTAACACAAAAATAATTTGCTCTATATATATGACACAGATGACAACCACAACAGCCAGTTAACCAAACATTAAAATGAATTTAATTAAAAAAATGGAAATTAAGAAATTAAGAAATAAGCTTGCTAGAGAAAATAAAAAGTTAAGATATTTCCCCCATACACATTCCATCAATGCAACACCTAGATACTTGAAAATTTACCCTTCAAAAGAAAAAAAGGAGACATGATCACAAAAGTACATATGATAAACACAAATAACTAACCCACCATGAGATAATTTAAATTACTGTAGTGAATTCGAATGCATAGAATACCTAAATGTTCAAAGAAATGCGTACCATTAAGATTTAGTGGTTGTTTGGAATGTACTATATAAGTGCATTTTTTGGCTTTTGAACTAAAAAAGTAGAGAAAAAAAATATGTATGTTTGGGATAACCTTTTGACTTTTTACGAAAAGATGTATAATAAAATATTGTAGTAAAATCAAAATGACCATTTCACCCTTTTGACTTTTAACTTTTTAACTTTTTGGGTAGTTGAATTCAAAGGGCAAAATAATAATTTTGCTCTAGTGGCTTCCCCCACAAGCTACCCTTGAATAGTATAGGATTTTTTACTTTTTTTAACAACTTTTCGACTTTTTTAGTTTATTCCAAAGAAGGCCTTAATTACATTGCAGATATGGCACCTTCGCTTTTAATGATCATCTCACAAGGCAGGCTGTCGCCTTAGCAACAAAATCAAATTAAAAAAAAAAAAAAAAAAAAACAAAGAACAAAAAAGAAAGAACACAAAGCATAACTCCGCCGGTCCCAAGCCCGGGTAAAGGAGGAGGGTTGTGTGTTAGGTAGCCGACAGCCAACATGGAAAAAAGCCGCTTGGATTCCTTATGAAAATGAATCCTACTTTGAATCGATTAAATGTTAGGTCGTTCCCCTTAAGTGACGCATTGCATTTGCCTCCAGGTATTTCGAAAAGTGAGCAAGGGGCGCTGCATCTACACCTGGGTGCGATGAAAAATAGGCAAAGGTTTCCGCATTTTTCTAAACGAGTGCGGATAAAGAAGCTAGTCCAAGACTATAGGTTGATGGTAGCCACATGAAATGTAGGATCTTTAACTAGTAAGACTATGGAATTGGTAGATGTCATGATGAGGAGGAGAGTCAGTATAACTTGCGTACAAGAAACTAAGTGGACAAGTGAGAAAGCTAGGAAAATAGAGGATACTAGGTTTAAACTATATTATTGTGACAAGGATAGACATAGGAATGGGGTAGGAATAATAGTTGCCTAAGGTCCTATAAAAAATGTAGTTGCGGTTATTAAGAAAGGTAATAGGATTACGTTAGTTAAACTAGTTATTGGAGAAAATATAGTGAATGTTATTAGTGCAGACGCTCCCCAAGTAAGATTAGATGATCAGACTAAGAGAGAATTTTTGGACCAAATGGATGAAGGGTATTAAAAGAGATACCCATAAGAGAGAATCTTGTTATAGGTAGAGATTTCAACGGCCATGTAGGAATAGATAAACTAGGTCATAAGAGAGTGCATGGTGGGTATAGTTTTGGTGATAGAAATGAGGCTGGAAAGAGTATTTAGATTTTGCATTAGCTTCTGACCTGGTGGTGACCAATACCATGTATAAGAAGAGAAATGAGCATTTGATAACTATTAAGAGTGGGTCAATTAGGAGCCAAATACATTACTTTCTAGTACGAAAAGTGGACCGTCTAAAATGCAACGACTGTAAGGTGATTCCTGGAGAGAGCCTGATGTCTCAACATATGATTTTGGTACTAGATTTATACTTCAAAGGATAATATCAAACTAGGAAGGATAGTAGGCGTCATAGGACGAGATGGTGGGACCTAAAAGGGGATAAACTAAAAATATTTAAAAATAGAATGGTTGAAGATGGTACTTGGAACTTAGAAGATGATGTTAACACTATGTGAAACTCGATGGCCAATTGTATGAGGAGAATCTCAAAGGAAGTCCTTAGAGAGTCGAAAGGAAAGGGACCCAACTCTAAGGAAACTTGGTAGTAGAGGGAGGAGGTTCAAGCGGTAGTAAAGACGAAAAAAGAGTACTTTAAAAAGTGACAGAATGATAAAACTGAGAAAAACCTTAAAAGCTACGGATTGGCAAATAAGGACGTCAAAAAGTAGTGAGAGAGGCTAACTTGAAAGCCTATTATGACCTATACACTACCCTAGATAGTAATGAGAGAGAGAACAGAATATAAAAACTTGCTAAGATAAGAGAGGAAAACAAGAGACTTTAATTAAGTTAAGTGCGTCAAGAGTGAGGACTCTAAAATGTTGGTGAAGAATGAAGAGATTAAGGAGAGGTCGAAGAACTATTCTGAGAAGTTATTAAATGAGGAACATGAAGGAAGGTCAAAATGAGAGGAATTGGTCAGTAATAAGGAAAATCAAGACTACGGGTTCTATCGTAGGATTAGGAATTTTGAAGTGGGGATTGCGCTTAAGAAGATGAAATCGAATAAGACTTTAGGATCCGATGATATCCCTATTGAAGCTTGGAAATGTTTGGGTAAGAAAGGGTTTGCATGGTTGACTAGGTTATTTAGCAAGATTTTATTAACTAAAAAAATGCCAGAGTGGAGGAAGAGTATTTTAGTGTCAATCTATAAAAATAAAAAAGATGTCTAGAATTGCAACAACTATAGAGGAATCAAGCTAATGTGTCATATAATGAAAGTGTGGGAGAGAGTGACGGAACGTTGATATATAATAGAGGTGTCAGAGAATCAATTTAGATTTATGCTTGGTAGGTCAACAATGAAAGCGATCTATCTTTTGAGGAGAGTAACAGAAAAGTATAGAGAAAAAAAAAAGACATTTATATAGTTTTTATTGATCTTGAGAAAACATATGATAGACTGTCTCGGGATATAATCTGGTGAGTGTTATAGAAGAAAGGGGTGACAAAAGACTACATTGATATGATTAGGGACACGTATGAAGGTGTGGTGACCACTATGAGATCGTTGACTGGAGAGACAAGTGAATTTTCAATTACTGTGGGGTTACACCAGGGATTAACCTTAAGTCCTTATCTTTTTGCTTTAATTATGGATGAGTTGACGAGAAATATTCAAGATGATGTGCCATGGTGTATGCTTTTTGCAGATGATATTGTGTTAGTAGATGAGATTAGAGGAGTTAACACTAAATTGGAGACTTGGAGAAAAGCACTTGAATCTAAAAGATTTAAGATAAGCAAAACTAAGACAAAGTATATGGAGTGTAATTTTAGTAACAGTAACAATGAAAACAGAGTAGAAGTGAAGATTGAGAGTTGTTTTGGGAAGGTCTATAAAAAGTTGGCTTTTGGCTTTTTACCAAACTTTTTGGCTTTTTTGGAAGTGATTTGGAAAGTTGGTAAAAAGCTGACTTTTTGCTTTTTAGTTTAATATTTATTTATGGTGTCAAATCAAATTAAAATGACCAAAATACCCTTACCCAACATAAGCGATTTATTTTTTTATTTTTTTTTCATAGGCCCTAATTTGTAATTTTACGACTGAGTTTTTGGCACTTGCCAAATGGCTTTTTTGGCGTTTTTGGCAGCCACGTTTTTGGACATTTTGTCCAAAAACGTGACTTTTTACCATGTTCTCAAAATGGCACTAAGAACCAAGAACTATTTAAGAGTGAATAGTTTTGTTATCTAAGATCGATTATCACAACAACTAGGGAGATTAGAACAGATGTGGTCCATAGAATTAAGACGGGGTGACTTAAGTGGAGGAGTGCATCTGGGGTACTGTGCAATAAACGACTATTAGACCATCGATTTTGTATGGGATGGAATGGTGGGCAAATAAGAAAAGTGTAGATAAGATGAGTGTTGCTGAGATGAGAATGCTAAGGTAGATGTATAGCATGTCTAGAAAAGATAGAATTAGATATGAGCCTATTTGTAAATGGGTAAGAATAGCATCGATAGAAGCTAAGCTAAGAGAGAATAAATTGAGATAGTTTGGTCACATACAACGGAGACCAACAGAGGCAGTAGTAAAGAGATGCAATACAGTGACGGTAGATGGAAGTATTAAGGGAAAGGGCAGACCTAGATTGATGTAGGCTAGTGTAGTAAATAGATATATGAATCTCCTTATTTTGACTAACCAAATGGCCTCTGATAGAGTCGAGTGAAGAACAGGGATTCATATAGCCGACTCCATTTGATGAGATTTAAGGCTTTGTTTGGTTTTTAAAGAGCACAAAGCATTTTACAAGCACACCCCCTTTAATACAGTAGCAGTAGACTAGGAGATGGAAGATAAAAAACTATAGAAGCGATCATGCATGCAAAATGTGATTAACTTCTTGATCAATTATTTTTGCTCACCGTCGAAGTCCCCATATATAGCTATATAGTAGAGTTATTGGGTCTTAGAGCAATTGGAAGCCGATTTCGATGACGAGGCCAATAAGCTTGGACCTTAGTGCTTGCTGCAACTTGTTTCCTCCCCATTATAGTTAAATAGAGTTCGTAGCCCCCCTCCCCCCTTCTCCTTCTTGCTGCCCTCCCTTATTTGTTTCTCTAGTCCCAGAGAGATTTAGAAGGAAGGAAACAAAATAATCTCAATTTTAAGACAAATTTGGTCCAATGATTGTTCTCCACTAACCACAAGAATATAGGGACTCCAGATTTCATCTTAGGTGACATTAATGGAGTTATGGGCACATGTTTTTTTAGTTCTAATTCATATGAATTAGCGCAATCGGGCGATCAAATTCTTGGCTTTTCATTGGCCATTGCATGCTAGAGTGCTTTTGTTTTTTCAGCATGCTTCTTCAAATATTGCATCTTGGTTTTTCTTGACCAAGATCTATGTTACATAGACTCAAGGACAGATGCCAGTATGTGTCTAAGTGTCATATTCATCTACTTCTCATGTTAATGACACCAAAACACAATTATATTTCATATATATATATATATATATATATTTATTTATTTTTAAGAATAAAATTAGGGGAAATTACAAATCAGCTGGACAGTGGTAAAATAATCTCATTTTTATGGAGGGTGCAGCGCAAGCTATACTGTGTGGGGTGCAACTTTTTCCTGTGCACCGAAAAGAGATTCCCATGTATAGTGTAATTATTTTGGGACTGTCCACTAAAATGCTATTTTCCAATAACATTATGTCTACAAACTAAAATAAAGCATTTTATGCATAAAATAGAAGCCTTATCGAACACATATCTCATAATCTCACTCAAGCGTCAAGACCTCACCAGTTTAGAAGATCCATGTAACATAGGTTGGGATCAAACCTATGAAACACTGACACTTCAAAATAAGTTCTGTATCCATGTATGGGACATGCCACATGGTGTGTCCCCTTATTTAATTAATTTATTTTCAAGGGACACACTAGGGACATACCAAATTGTTTTTTCCCCTATTTTCTTTAGTACTTTTGATGAATATTGAATATTTATTATTTTTTTCTTAAATTTAAATACTTAATAGAATAAAAAATAATATATATAAACTGCAAGTGTTAGGCCTTGTTTGGCATGATCTACAATAGCCAAAGAGTCAAGAAAGCTAACTTTTTTTACCTACCTCTTGCAACCTTGCCTGGGAAGCTTTTATATGCAAAATTACCAAATTGTCCCCTGTTTGGACCTTTGACATGACACCTCTCCAAAATTTGACGTGACACCTCCAAAGGGCAAATATGTAATTTAACATTTCTATATTATTGAATATCATTTTTTTTTCATAGAAAGTCGAAAAATTATTCCTAAACATACTAATTTTTTTCTTACTATTTTAGCAGCAAAAGTAAAAAAAATTATTAAAATAGCCTATTCCCAAACAATCCCTTAATCTAGAAAGCACGGATACAGATATGAGATACGAATACGATACGATACGGATACGGCGATACAGCAAAACCTAAAAAAATAGGATACGGGTACGGCTAGAATACGTTTGTAAAAAATAAAAAATAAATAAATTATTAGCAATGAGTACACATAAGCTCAAGAATGTTGAGAAATCACAGTAACTTTATCCAAAGGGCAAATATGTAATTTAACATTTCTATATTATTGAATATCATTTTTTTTTCATAGAAAGTCGAAAAATTATTCCTAAACATACTAATTTTTTTCTTACTATTTTAGCAGCAAAAGTAAAAAAAATTATTAAAATAGCCTATTCCCAAACAATCCCTTAATCTAGAAAGCACGGATACAGATATGAGATACGGATACGATACGATACGGATACGGCGATACAGCAAAACCTAAAAAAATAGGATACGGGTACGGCTAGAATACGCTTGTAAAAAATAAAAAAAAAATAAATTATTAGCAATGAGTACACATAAGCTCAAGAATGTTGAGAAATCACAGTAACTTTATAGTGCAAAATACTAATATTTAAGAATTAAGTATTAATTTAAGCTAATAGTTAGTTTAGTTTTTAAATTTTTAATAGGTCTTGCAAATATTTCATTTCAATATCAAGTCTAATATGTTGATATTATAATATCCAAACAATCCATAACTTGACCCTATGTTTTTTCCTTTTGCACTAGTCAAAAATATTCTATGCAAGTTTATTTTCTTATTTATTTATTGATATTTAATTTTACTGTTGTTATATTATCTTATTAATCCTTATTTCTATATAGTTATAGGGGACACACATGATATAATGAAGATATGCCAATTTGATGAATTCTATTATTTGAGCTTACCATGTTATTTTTATAAAAAAAAAACTAAGCAAAGTATTGTAAAAATATTCTATTTATTCTCGCAATTATATTATATCATGATGTTATGCAAGAAATAATACAATTCTAATTTCGTAAAAGGAGTAATACGTGACTTGAAGGATTTGATACTTCAAAATTAATTAAGAAGTATCCGATAATATGTGAGCCAGAGTATCCGATACTTCAAAACTAAGTATCCGATACTTCAAAATTAATAAAAAATTAATTAAGAAGTATCCGTTACTTTTAATAAGTATCTGATACGTATCCGTAAGTATCCGAGGAGTATCGGTATCCGATACGGATACGATACGAATACGATACGGATACGTCTTCCTATTTGAAGTATTCGTGCTTCATAGCCCTTAATTTATAAGTGTTTTTAAAAAAAAAAAAATTTAAATAGAATTAGAGTTATTTTTGTTAATATTGATTGTTTGTGGATGTTACATTAATCAAGATAGCAAATAAAAATATATGAAAACATATTTTATTGTCGTGTGCCCGCTATATCCCCGTCATATCCGTGTCTCCATTTTTTTTTGAATCGCCGTGTCCCATATCTGCATCCGTGTCCACATCCGTATCCGTGTCCGTACTTCTTAGGATAGAACCATAACTTGGTAAATGACTACAGGACAACCCCTAGTATCTACTAGAGTTAGGATGCTTATCTTATTATTTGAGAAAGGAGAAAGGGCTATCAGCTCGACATTGATGTTACAGCAAAGAGACGCAACGAAACAAAGCTCCCCAGGATCATCCCTCTACCAAAAATCTGTAAGAAGATAGGTGGTTAATTTATACACTTATACACAAGGGTCTCTCCTTAAAGCATTAGAATCCTTGTTTGTGGTACAATTTTGCAGTAGGAAGGTGTTCATTGCTAAGAAAGGTTCAAAGTAGATTGAAAGGAGGAGGAATTTAATACTCTGGGCTTGGATTGAGGTCCCGGGTCATTTGGGCAAGAAAACACAATTTTCCGCCTGAAAGGTCCCCTTTGCCAAAGAGTAGGGCTAAAGACAAAAGGCGTATCCATAAGTTATGCTCCACGTTTGGCACTATAAAAGCATGTAAATTTTCTTTCTTTATACATTCATGCAACTTTTTTCATACGCTGAGTATTATTGACCACAACAAATTTCCAGCATTGCATAGGTGTATTAATACAGTTCAAAAATCAAATTATACCAAACCTATCAAACTGTTGCGACTCAGTAATTACACTGACTGAAGCCCGATTACAAACACCATCCCCAGCCAGATACCATTAAAGAATTACAATTAGGAAGAAGAATCAGAACACAGTATATATCTATGTTATAATCTATTCTATTAGATAAATCCTACAAGCCAGTGAAGCATTATCACTGCTTTTTCATTCCCAAATTGTCCTACATCTGCCTTACTTTTTTATTTCAAATTTTAAATTTCAAAATTTTGTAACTTCTTCAGTTTTCTTTTCCTCTTCATGTACATATATTTTTTTATTTTCATATCACCTATCAGGTGTGCACACATTCTACTACATATATATATATATATATATATAGCTCAATATAGTCGATTAACCACAAGTATTCTGTGCAAGATTGAACTGAAAGTAGAATCATCTATACGTGAAATCAATGCGAAGTCGAAGAAGAGAACGAAGTGGGGGCAATGTTACCTAGGGCAGAGACGAGTGGTTGGAGGAGGAGCAATTGGCAAGCGAAGACGAAATGGAGGATGAATACCGTGAAAACGAATCCCCTCCAAGCTACCAAATCCATGGTCGATGCAAAACCTAACAGATTCATCTTCTCTGTCTTCCTCGATTTTCAATCCGATTCATAACAAATATATGTGTGTGTGTGTGTGTCTATATTTTTGAATAGATTGTGTTGTTTGACTGTGATTTTGGGGACGAATGAGAGAGAGAGAGAGACAGAGAGAGAGAGAGAGAGGAGAGAGATTGAAGAACTCGATGTTATGACATTGAATTTGAAAGGGCTTTTTCACAAAGAAGGTTTCCTTATATTAAGCTTTTTCAAAGGATTGACACACATGTCATTCCACGTTACACAAGCCAATTATTGAGTTACATGTGGACATAATAGCCAGAAGTTAAATTAATGAATCATTGCCACGTCGAAAAGAGCTGCCTAACTTTTCTATCACAATACATTAAAATTGAAAAGATGACAAAATATTTATTTTTTAATAAAAATTTTTAAATTTGTTTGATTTAATTTTTTGACTTTATTTTTAAAAAGTTCTTTAAAAAAATTAAATATTAATGTGATGAGAAAATAAAAATACTAATAAGTTTTATATAATTTTATTTTTTATGACAGCATAAATAATTTTTAAAATATATATTAGTATTTATTTTTATCATATTAATTTTAATTTTTTTAAATTTAAAAAATCAAACTAAAAACGATTTTTATTTTCAAAACAATTTCCCAATGGTCTTGCACCTTCTGTGTCTTCCCTTCTCGTTCTTATGTTTTCCTCCTGATTCCTAGGGTTGTAAGTCCAACTCCTTTCATTTTTTCCAACCCCTTCCTTATCCTTGTAAATAAATTCATGATGTTATGCATATAATAAATTTTGTAATCTAAGATTGTGCATTATTATAATTTTCCCAAATAATAACATAATATAAAAAATAAATAACATTTCCGGATTTATTATGCAAGACCTTCGAGTGATCTAAAATTGATTGAACATAAATTTAATATCAATATCAGCGGAAAAAAGTTTTTTGCTTGACTAAGGGTGTGCGCAATGTGATTTAGACGGTTTGAGAATAAAATTATAAATTGAACGATGGATTGACAGATTGGAAAATTGTTGTTTAAGAGATTTTAGGCAGATTGACTGATTGAAGAATATTCTAACCAATTATCAAGCATTTGCATAATATATATAACACTAATTTATATAATATTTTTCATATATATAACACAAACTAATTTTATATAAATATTTTTCATATATATGACTACTAATTTGTAATAAATTTAACATATTAAATCTCTTTCATATTCGTTTTTACTTTAATATTTTATTATAAGTTAAAAAATATATATCTATTAACTATAGCGGAGCGGTTTCAAAGGCAAGTTATAAATTTTAAAGGTTATATCGTAGTTTGCAGATAAAGAGGTGCAGATTGATGCGAATCGGTGTGGTTTTAGCTGATTGGGCAGCATTTTGTACAACCCTACTCTTGACCCTCTTTAGAATAACGTGAATTCAGAATAATTTGATGGGTAATCTGAATGTCCTTTTATAGGCAAAGAGATGATAGGTTTCCTTATTCAATTTTATTCTACTTTCCCATCAAAGTAAGAAACTTGAAAACTACTTCATCTATTAACCAATTAGATAAAACCTAATGGAACCATAATCTTGATAAATTTCTAATTTGTATTACTGTATCATGTGGGTCACCAAAATGCTAATAATTGATTTAGTCTTACATTCTCTCACTTGGCCAATATGATAACTTACGTCAAAATTTAATAAGGTTAAACATTAGGTGCACAATAAACCATATCCAATCTTACATTTAGTTTGGTCATCATCATAATACTACAACTAAACAGTTCACTAATACAAGTCATGGCTGGTGGAGTTGGATATATATTATCATCCACATCTTAAAATTTGAAAAGTTTATATATATTGGAGATTTTATATCTGTTTAGAAATATTTATTTTGGGCTATCAGTGGAGGATAGCCATGATTGTTGTAGAAATTGCATGAGCAATAGGTGAATTGAAACAAATTTCTCATCCATTTGCATTGAGCATGATTATATCTTTAATACATTGTACATGCATAATGTTTTTGAGAAATAAAGAGTGATTCTGGAAAGGGGATGTATTCCATAACGCCCCAAAAATAACTACAATAAACCAACTCCAAACACTAGTGTAATGTGATATAAACAAAATAAGAAGCTTTCATTAATCAGAATAAATATACAAAAGTGACATATGCGATATACATTCATAAACCGTTCATCCTGAATCTACAGTATGTGTTACGAGACATAATGGGAAAATAGAGTTAGACAGATATTCATTTGCCCTAATGGCTTACATCTTTCCAGGACTGTGCTTGGTTACAACAAAATGAATCAGAAGCTCAATACAAATAAAGCCCTAGGCTTTTACAAAAGTTAGACACAAAATAAACAAAATCGAGCCTTCGGCTTCACAGTCCTCTCAAGCTAAGTTCTTGGCGGAGATATATCACCAGCACCTGAAAATAGTTTTTCCCAGATAAGGTGAGTCAAAGCCCAGTAGAAACAATCTAACACAATATATGAATCTTAACAAAGATATAAATATGATGTGTATATACAATGCCTGTACAAAATCATTTACAATTCTTTTGCAAACCATGCTATGCCAAGTTTTATATCACCATTCATGCTATCTTAATCCCCTTTTTATCTCAACTCATTTTATTTCAATTCGTGAGATGCGTTAGGATTGTTTCACTTGGTTAAAAGCAACAGGTGCGCCTATTTGTTCACACCACCCTTCCTTATCTCAGTAAGACGTATTAGGATTGTTTTCACTCGGTTAAAAAACAGCAGGTCCGCCTATTTGTTCACACCACCTTCCCTCCTTTCGCGCGAGACACGTTAGGATCTTGAGTTCCTCGGTTGAAAACCTCGGGCTTGCCTGGTGGTTACATCGCCCTCCGTATTTCCTGCATGAGACGTAGTTAAGTTCGCATCTTTCTTGCATGGGATATGGTTTGGTTTGCACTTTCTTTATCCTTTTCATGTGAGACGTGTTTGTTTGCTCATCTCTTTTCATGTGAAACATGGCTTGAGTTGTTTTGCTTTCATTCAGACGTTGCATTTCTACTATTACTTATGGCATTGTTTCGTCGCTTGGTATTTTCATTTAAATGTTTCATTGCATTGTTTCATGACATGATCATAAGTTATTTGTTTTCTGCAAATCATGTTGCACTTTGCCCTCAAGTTCAATCATTGCATTTACGTCTTGATTTCTTACCCAAGTCTTATGGCCTCGTCAAATGGGTCGTCTCTGGGTTTTGACAATCACTCACATCATTCCATGACTTTGAGCTCTGTCAAAGAGGGGCAACTGTAGACACCCCATTTTTGATTGCCCGCAAGACTTGAGCGCTTTGTCCTACGTGCTCGATAATGAAAGTTGCGTTGTGTGTGGTTCTAAGTCTTAATGAAGGATCTACATTCAAGCTTTGAAAACAATCGCAAACTTTCCATATTTACACTATTTGTACCCCAGAGATTCATTTTTGAACCTTGTGCTACCCTACACAGAACCTGGAACAGAGGAACAGGGGAGCATATTGGGAGCCGGCCGTGCCTCATTGGGAGCCGCCTGTAGCCATTGGGAGCCGGTCAGCCTTCTTTGGCTAGAAACACTATTCTGGGCGGAAATCAACCAACTGGGTTTTTTTGAAGATATTTTTGACCTATTTTGCTCAAATTCTATAAATATGAGCCTAAGCCACTGTGTCAAGAGTTAGAAAAAATTTTAAAAAGCCAAAACATCTTTGTGAGCTTCTCATTCTTGTGCAAGCTAGCTTTGAGATATTTGACATCCTTAAACCATATCTATATACCATAAACAACCTTAGAACAAAGCCTTAGAGCCTTGGTACAAACTTGTGAATCACAAGCCACACTTGAGAGTGCCTTTGGATTGAGTTTGGCTTGCAACAAGAGCTTATGTTCTTTAAGAGATATAAGCTTATGCTCTTCAAGAGATATAAGCTTACCACCTTTCTCCTTGCTTTCATTTCTATCTCTTTGTATCTATTTCTAGTGTTTTTGTGTTGTTTTGAATCCATTTCAAGTGTTGGAACTTGGGGTTGAATAGCTATGAAAGGTAGAAAGGCTTAACACCCTTTCTTACACCTTAATTCATAGCTCATACCTCTTGTTCTTGTACTCTTTTCTTTGGTTTTCAAACTGATTTTCAGAGTTTAAAAGGGCTGAAAAACATGGTTTAGAGGTCTCAAAAATGGAAGGGTTGGCCACCTCTCGTTGCCCTTGTTTACTAGTTTTGTGTCTATGTATTATTCCCATCTTTTTGTGCTATTTTACATAACTTTTAGCCACCGTTTTCACATATTAGAGGTTGTTTAGGATTGTCCTAATTTATTTAAATAGGTTATGCCTTGAATATGTAGCTTGTTGTGTTGTAAGTCCTCATGACTTCAGTTGTTTAGGCCTTAGACACCAAGTCGTTCGAGTTGATCACTTTTCTTTACTTAGTTTTCATATCAAGAGTCTCATTTTAATAATCAATCTCGCACAATCATTTCTGCACTCTCTCGCCTTTCTTCTTTTCTTTTGTTTGGAAGCTATTTCACACGATTGATAGTTATTCAAGACATGGGAACGAGACCTATGTTCAATGGCTTAATCTCTACGGAGGTTCATCGTCAAGGCGTAGTCTCCCTTTCATGTTATGAATGGTTTTTCGTTTGACATTTCTTCTAATTTAGTGGACTTAAACATCACTTTGGACAAATAGATTAAAGAATGGAAAGGACAAATAAAATCGGTTAAAATGAACTAAACCGACATAAAGAAAATGTTTAGAATTGGTTAGATTTGGCCGAACGTTATGCCACGTCCATCACTCCGAGAATTGTCGTTTATCAATCCATGATACATTGATGAGACTTAGAGCGTGTGTACTTCCCTCTTTGAACCTTCATGATAGGAGGGAGGGGGTGGTCATTGTTTATCACATTCATCAATTTTGTCCAAACGTGCTCGAGTTCATTAAGCCATCAACTTGTGCTAATTGATGGTTTTGAATGCGAATTTGTTCTTCTCTTGGGCTTCACATGACAGAGAAAAGTAAAAAGGACAAACAGGGCCCAGAAAGGATCTGTTTGTACTGTCCTCACCTCAAAGCACAAAAACAGATTTTGGCATGAAAATTAGGGCTGACTGGCCTTATT